GTGGTGTTGCATTCTCCATCAAAAGACACTTAACATCTTGGCAGGAGGGGAGGGGGGTTTTATCTGTAGATAAAATAGTTTTCAGTGTATTAAGTACTTATGAACAATCCTTGGTTTTGGAAAATGAAATTTAATTAAGTTTGTTTGATTTGCATATATTTAACAGGTAAAAAGAATCATATCTTATTTACTTCTGTTGAGAAACGTATGTTGACAGATGGCAGAAATGTCATTCACAGAAGGATATTTTACACATTTCTTTAATCTTCAGCTTACCTCACCCCGAAAGCCATAGGTAGAAATACGAGCTAAATCCTCAAAGGACTGCAGTTTACTTGTAGTGAACCTCTCACACACAATATCCAGATCTTCTTTCTAGAAGATACCAAAAAATAAGTAAATAACTATGTTATTCATTTTTTCCAAATCATGAATTTCCCTTTTCTTGACTGAATCCAAGAAGAAACCCCTCTTAGGAGAAGAGTTTTAAAATCAGCAGTAACTTCCTCATGTGGCATCCAGAGTGCCACACTGTCCCGCTGTCCCTTCTCTCTCATGAGTCACATTTCTCATCTGCATTTGCTGGTTCTGCCTCATCTCTGACAGCAGAGTAACCCAGAACTCCAGCCTTGGACCTCTTTGCTGTCTACACTCACTCTCTTGATGAGTTCTCCCAGGCACACAAATTTTAGAAAATCATTATTATTATTAGAAAACTTCTTTATTAAAAATCTACAGAGGCGGGCGCCTGGGTGGCTCAGTTGGTTAAGCGACTGCCTTCAGCTCAGGTCATGATCCTGGAGTCCTGGGATCGAGTCCCGCATCGGGCTTCCTGCTCGGCAGGGAGTCTGCTTCTCCCTCTGACCCTACCCCTCTTGGGCTCTCTCTCTCACTCTCTCTCTCTCTCAAATAAATAAATAAAATCTTAAAAAAAAAATCTACAGAGGCATTTAATTACAGTAAAATACACATCACAAATTTTACCATTTTAACCATCTTTAAGTGTACAGTTCTGCGGCCATAAATACATTCATACTGTTGTACACCCATCACCACTATGCATCTCCAGAACTCTTTCATCCTTCCAAACTGAAACTCTGTCCCCATTAAACGATAACTCCCCATGCTCCCCTCCCCGAAGCCCCTTGCAACCACCATTCTACCTTCTATGAACAGGACTACTCTAGGAACCTCCTAGATGAGGAATCATACAATATTTGTCCTTTTGTGACTGGCTTATTTCACTTAACGTGTCTTCAAGGTTCATGCATATTGCACCATGTGTCTGAATTTCAATCCTCTGTAAGGCTGAATAATACCCCATTATGTGTATACATCACATTTTTAAATCCACTCATCTATGGAACCCTGGGTTGCTTCCAGCTTTTGGCTATTGTGAATATGCTGCTATGAACATGGGGGCACAAATCTCTTCAAGACCTTGGTTTCAATTCTTTGGAGTACATACTCACAAGTTCTGCTGAATTGCATGGTAATTGGGTTTAATTTTTTCAAGAATCACCATACTATTTTCTATAGTGGCTACACTGTAGACTGCATTAGGGTTCTAATTTCTCTATATTCTTATTTTATTGTTTTTATAATAGCCATCCTAATAGGTGTCAAATGGTAGGTCACTGCTACTTTTATTCATATTTCCCTAATGACTTGTTACGTTCAACACCTTTTCATGGGAGTCTAATGGTTTTTAACACCATCAAAATGCAATACACTAAATTTTTATCTCCAGCCCAAACCTCTATGCTGCCCTTCAGACTCACATGCTTACTCAACTAAGAGCCATCTCAAGGTTACCATCGCCCCAAACGAATTTCTGATCTGCCCTCAAGTGTGTTTTTTCCATAGGCTTTCCCATCAGTAAATGGCAACTCTGCCATTTGCACAGGCCAAAACCTTGAAATCATTCTTGACTCCTCTTTCTCTTATACCAAGCATCAGCAAATTCTGAGAGCTTTGTCTTAATAATCAATGCAGAATCTCACTGCTTGTCTCTCTACTGCAACCAAACTGGTCCAAGACATGGTCACCCTGGATTGCTCCAAGAGCCCTCTTACTGCCTCTGTACTGTCCTGCTACAGTCCATCTTCCATAATCTAGACAAAAGGGTTCCTAAAAAACTCACCAAACCATGTCACCTCTTTGCTCAAAACCCTTTAACAGTATCCCACCTTATTCAGAGTAAAAGCCAAAGATTTTACAACGGCCCACAAGGTCCTACGTGACGAGCCTACTTATTTCTCAGACTTCATCTCCTATTATTCTTCCACTCCCTCACCCTGTTAGAGACACACTGGCCTCCTTGCCGGTCCTTAAACAAGTCAAGTGGGCTTCCATTTCGTGGTCTTTGCATGTTCTGTCTGCCCAAGAACATTCATCCTTTAAGCAGCCTCATAATTCTTTCCTTCACCTTATTTTCCTGAATAAGTGTCCAGCTTAGAATAGGTGCTCAATATATATTTAACTCTGGTATTGAATATTTCAGTTAAAAATCCCATCCAGAAAAAGCCCAGAGTTTCCCAAACAAGGAAAAGCTCTGTCGCTTCCTGTTAGATATACCCCACAAAGCACACAAACAGCCTGCTCCTCTGAGGTTTTACTTACCCTGATCCCAGTGCCATTGTCTTGGATCTGAATCAACTTGAGGCCTCCTTCTTTAACAACCACTTGGATACTGGTGGATTTTGCATCTAAACTGGCAAATTAAACAGAAAAAATTTTTTATTATTCTGCAACTATTCTAATGTACATATTTTAATATGAGCCAAGGTATAAGAACAAATTCCAGATAAATACAAGACTGTCTGGTTTTTGTGTTTTTCCTCTGTTCTTTAGGCTCTGACTACACTGTAATGAGTTTACATGCTGTGTGAGAGAGGGGGAAGAGAGAGGCAGGAGGGGGCAATCATCATTTTCAATAAGACATTCAACACCATTTCTGTTCCTCTAGGAAAGAAAGTGAAAAGTAGGATCCTTTTACCACATGCCTATTTCTTACCCTCTTCTCAACTAATTTTGCCATTTATTACTTGAATTTTATTCAGTCTCGGGTTCCCAAGTGAACCTAATAAGATGCCATTTCAAAAAAATCATAAATGTGTTTTTCTACTATTTATTCCCTTTTAAGAAAATACATTTTGTTGGGGAAAAGAGAAAAAAATGGCAATGCAGAAAGTTCTTCGAGAAGCCAAGAAATCTTTCATACTTTCAAAGAGCAGCCAACATCACAAGAGCACAGGCTACAGAAAACAAATTCAGTCTGTGGCTGCTTGAGAAAGAAGTAATCTGCTAAACACAAAGAAAATTCTTTCTTCAAAAATAAGACAATAAGTTACTTAAATATTAAAGACCTTTCTCAGAAGCCCTTGAATTGAAGTTGTATTAGCCATCTCGATTTACATATTAAAAAGAGCATAACTGGACCCCACACAAAATCCCTGCTCATAGAACTAATTATAAACCACTTAGCTAATATGTTCAGTTTGGTTGTGCAGTAGTCTGGCCCATTAGATAATAGGCCCAGGTTATTCTGTCAGTGAATTCTAACATCGTAGAAACAAAAGCCAGCCTTCACAATTGGTGAAAAGAGAACCCGTTCCCATGTTCCATGCTCCTTCTTTTGTCTACCTCCTAATTCTGTTCTTTTCCCTCAGTGGTCCTTTCTACACTCTTCTTTTAGTCCCACTACCCTGAGCGGTTATGTTTTCACTATCTCCTTACAAACCCACCATTCTTCGCTGGGTCATTTTGTTCTTTTCGTGTATTTATTTTATTAACATCAACTCATTTCAACACGAAGGTAACGTTTAGGTACATCATGAGCATGTCTTCTTGAAGTTTATAGTTTACACCCACCTTTCTTTCCAGGTTTTTAACCTCTTCCTTCCACACTGTGACACTTCTAAACTTCAGAATCCACGGGATACCCTCATGAAATCAGGTATCTTCGATGTGCCCCCCCAAAAGGTAAAGGGGAGGAAAACACTAAGTTGGGTCACTAATTTGGCAATAGGGCAATCACAATTTAAACCCAGACAAAGTCCATAGGCCTGTCTAAAATCTCGACAATTTGGAATAAAATCAAACGAACTGTACTCTTGAATGTGCACGGGTTATTTTTGGAATATGCAAGAAACGTTAACACGCATAACACGGTACCCTCTGAAGTATGAATGGAGATCGTCCCCCCGAAAATGTTTATGCATTTAAGAATTTTGCACCTTCTGTACATATAATTTCTTAAAAGTAGTTCCCTTAACTAATGGCGCCATTAAAACAATAAAACTTAGCCCTCCATTTGGACCCCCGAACAATCCTACTAAAGTCTCGCGAGAGCGCTCAGAAACTCGCGGCACCCGGGAAGGGAAAAGGCAGGACCCCGCGGCCTCCGGTGCCGTGGGCATGCGCCGTACACGCCTCCGCCCAGGGCAGGGAGGCGTGTCCGCGCGCCATCCTGAAGAGGGTCCTGTTAAATCGTAGCTGATAAGAAAGCCCGGCTCCACTCCCTCCCTACCAGTTCTCAATCATCTCCTTGATGGCATTAGCCGGCCGCTGGATAACTTCCCCTGCCGCGATGCGGTTCACCACTGTCTCGTCCAACCGCCGAATAACCCCCGCTACGAGCGACATTTTCGCGCCAGAGGAGCCTAAGCCACGTCGAGAGGCTCACCGGAAGTGCCTTCAGCCAATCACCTCAGGGCTTCGTGCCCACGTCTTTCCACCAACTCTGTTTACGCGGTCTTGTCCCACCTTCTCGCGGCAGACGCTTCGGACCAGGGAGCTATTGATTGGGCAGCTGGATGCCAGTCAAGTTTCTTAAGTCCGCGGGGTCCTGGGTCTCTTGGTCCCTCCCTAGCGCGCGGCTTCAGGCCCCTGGCTAGAAGGGTATGCGCCTGCGCGCTGTCCGCTCTCCCCATTGGCTCTTGCCTGGGCTAGGGAATACGAAATCTCCAGCCAATAGGAACGCAGGTGGCGTAGCCGGAGGTTGGTGTCCCCCTGCTGGGGTGATTTGGCGCAGAGCGGAGGAGGTGCTTGCTCCTGCCTCTGCTCCTCCCCTCTCCTTGCGGCCTCCCGGAGGTCGGCCCTCTTCTTGTGGCCTGCTGTAAAATGTGGATGACGCCCAAGAGGAGCAAAATGGAAGTCGACGAATCTCGGGTTTTCCGGACCGAGTGGACCCAGCGTTACTTGGTGGTGGAGCCTCCGGAGGGCGAAGGGGCCCTGTGCCTGGTCTGTCGCCGCCTCGTCGTAGCCACCCGCGAACGCGACGTCAGGCGCCACTACGAGGCCGAGCACGACTACTACGAGCGGTATGTGGCGGAGGGCGAGCGCGCGGCCCTAGTGGAGCGTCTGCGGCAGGGCGACTTGCCCGTGGTCGCCCCGCTCACTCCCGAGGAGAGAGCTGCTCGTGCAGGCCTCGGGCTCGCCCGCCTCTTGGCCTTGAAGGGTCGCGGCTGGGGTGAGGGGGACTTTGTGTACCAGTGCATGGAGGTGATGCTGAGGGATGTACTGCCCGAACACGTAAGCGTTCTGGATGGCATTGATTTATCTCCAGAGGTCACGCGGCAGAGGGTCCTGAACATTAACAAGAACCTACGCAGTCAGCTTTTTGACAGAGCCAAGGACTTTAAAGCCTATTCCCTTGCCTTGGACGACCAGGCCTTCGTGGCCTATGAGAACTACCTCCTGGTCTTTGTCCGCGGCGTGGGCCAGGACTTGGAGGTCCAAGAAGAGCTTCTGACCATAATCAACCTGACTCGTCACTTCAGTGTTGGTGCCCTTATGGCGGCAATCCTTGAGGCCCTGCAGACAGCAGGGCTTAGCTTGCAGCGAATGGTTGGACTAACCACGACCCACACTCTGAGGATGATTGGTGAGAACTCAGGACTGGTGTCGTACATGAGGGAAAAGGCTGTAAGCCCCAACTGTTGGAATGTTATCCATTATTCAGGATTTCTGCACTTGGAACTCTTGAGCTCCTACGATGTCGACGTTAATCAGATCATAAATACTATATCAGAATGGATAGTTCTGATTAAGACCAGAGGCGTTAGGCGCCCCGAATTTCAGGCTTTACTAACTGAATCTGAATCAGAGCATGGCGAAAGGGTTAATGGACGATGTCTGAACAATTGGCTTAGAAGAGGGAAAACTTTAAAACTAGTATTTTCCCTGAGAAAAGAGATAGAAGCATTCTTGGTTTCAATAGGGGCAACAACGGTCCATTTCACAGACAAGCAATGGCTGTGTGACTTTGGCTTCTTGGTGGATATTATGGACCACCTCCGAGAACTCAGTGAACTGTTGAGAGTCAGTAAAGTCTTTGCTGCCGCTGCCTTTGACCATATTTGTACCTTTGAAGTGAAGCTGAATTTACTGCAGAGACATATTGAGGAAAAAAATCTAACACACTTTGCTGCCTTCAGAGAAGTTGTTGATGAGCTTAAACAGCATCTTAAAGAAGATCAAAAAATATTTGATCCTGATAGGTATCAAGTGGTGATCTGTCGCCTACAGAAAGAATTTGAGAGACATTTCAAGGACCTCAGGTTCATTAAAAAGGACTTAGAACTTTTTGCAAATCCTTTTAATTTTAAACCTGAATATGCACCTATTTCAGTAAGAGTGGAACTAACAAAACTTCAGGCGAATACTAACCTTTGGAATGAATACAGAGTCAAAGACTTGGGGCAGTTCTATGCTGGATTGTCTGCTGAATCTTACCCAATTATCAAAGGGGTTGCCTGTAAGGTAGCATCCTTGTTTGATAGTAACGAAATCTGCGAAAAGGCTTTTTCATATTTGACTCGAAACCAACACACTTTGAGCCAGCCATTGACAGATGAGCATCTCCACGCCCTGTTTAGGATTGCCACAACTGAAATAGAGCCGCATTGGGATGACCTTGTGAGAGGAAGAAATGAATCCAATCCATAAGTCTTGGTAGTACAACATTGAGACACTCAAAGAGAATCTCATTCTAAAAGCAAACATTTGTCCGATTTTTCAAGTGAACTAATTTGGATTGTGGCAAAGCACCAAGTTTATTCATCCAAATTGATCACGATTCAGATTCTTCTGACGGATGTTTTTTTTTCATCTCAAGAGGCAGCATGGGACTGAGACATGCAAACACCTTTTTTAGAATTTAATTTACTGACGAAGTCATTGTATTTTGCTTTTATGATACGATTGTTTTTAAAGAAGTTCAGTACTGATAATGTGAGTTGAATTAGAAGTCTGTTTTTCAGATGTTTTAAAGAAATTTTAGGTTTTAACAAAGTGCTAAAATTCTGATGCATATGGTCTGAAGTTATCAATTCCTTAAATGTATGTTTGAGCCAGTTTGCAGAAACTCACATAGCAAGTTCAGAAGTTTCTGAGAAGGAAGAACGTACATACAGTGGAGGTATTTTGTCTTAATTACCAAAATGTTAGAGTATTTTTTTTTTAAACATTTTTCTGAGTCTGAAGTCAATACTGACAGATGTCCTCCTCTCACCCCCCCAACCTGCCCTAGTGATAATATTACTAGTAGAAGAGAATAATCTTACAAAATTTTAGTCAGAGGAGTAAGAATTATTTTTAAATTGCTGGTTTAGGACGCTTCCTGCATTTTGGAGATCATACTATCCAGTTATTGGGGGTCTCCCCTGAATTTTTCACAGTTGGGTGCTGTTTTATCAGCTTGCCTATTAAAGGACTACGGTAAGTATAGAATCTTAATAGTTGCCCATTAGTTATTCTTTATTCTACTCCAGACAGAAGTTTGGCCCTGTCAAAAAAGGATGACAGAATAAGATTATTGCCCTCCAGGATCAGGAGGTGTGAGATATTTTAGCTTATTATGCATGGGTGTTACTGGTTTATAAAGAAATCCTGTTTAAAGGAAACCCTTTATTTTAAAGTGATATGACATCAGATTGTGTTAGCTGCTGGAAGTGGATTTACTATAGAATTTAAAACTGTCCCACACATTCTATATTTACGATAGTGTACAAGTAGAAATACTTAACTCTCAAGAAGCAGCTTTATTAACAGATTGTAGCAATTCCATATTTCTAGTGAGACATCTGCTTTATGCAAAAAAAAGTACTTTCCAAACTTATGTTAACCATGAAAAGGAAATCTTACAGTAAAGCCAAATATATAAAACGATTTAAAAGCGGGACCCAACTGAGAGGTCCTCTCAAGTACAATTTGCAAACCTGTGCTGAAGTCCGGTCTTAACTATTATAACACATTATTCTTGGTCACTAATCCAGCAAATTCATGGAACCAGGATACAACCAACAATTTAGAAGGAACTGATTCCCGAGCAATCAAAATAGATGCCATAAGAGCTCAGGAACCAAAATTGTGTCAAGGGTTCTTGACCAGAAGCGGTAACCCCTCTTTCCAGAGGTTGTTGGAAAATACAGGGGACTTCTTTGGTTGTCAGACTTACCTGGGGGGATTCTGCTGGCATTTAAGCACGAAGGACCCCCCCCTTGCAGTGCATAGGACAGCAAGGCACAATGGAGAATTATCCTTCCCAAAGTGCCAGTAGGTCCCCCGTTGTACTGTTGTAGATTATTTTATTTTGAGGGACAGGGCAAATTACCGGTAGAAGCAGAATGAGAAAGGCAAGTCGGGCAAACTGACACTAGTCAATAGGGGAGACTCATTCCAACGTTCCAGGTTTGGCTGGTAAGATGAAGTAAAGGCCTTGATAGATTCTGGTAGCTCACAGTAGCATTTAAGTCAGTGGCTTATATTGAACCAGACTAAAGGGCTCAGTTCTGTTAAATGGAATTAGAACAGAAAAACAAGTATTAACAAGCTAGTAATTGAGGATGGTCAAGTTGAGATTTTCGGTGAATGGGGAGTAAGCTTAAATATTTGGAAAAACAACAATGAAAAACCAACCCCCCCCCCCCGCCCCAAATCTACCGGTAATTTGCCAGTAGTTTATAGAGTCTTCTCTTTCATGGCAAGTGCTTTATTGAAAGAATGTTTGGAGGACCTGCTTCTGCTTTCCTACCCTAGTTCCTAAAATATTGAAGTCTTGTAATTTTGTGAAGTTCCACTATATATTTTGCTTAAGGTAATAAAACTAGTTTGCATCATGTAGTCACTGAGTTGGGGGGAGATATACGCTAAGGATTTAAAACTGACCCTAAATAATAGAGAATTTGCTATCAACTAGTCTTGTTTGTAAAAAAGAAAACTGTGTGTATATTACTGTTTTCTGTATTAAGTAATTCTGTAACTGCATGGCAGTCTTTAAATTTTTTTTTTTTTACAAAATAGTTGTTACTGGTCCTATTGTATCAGTGATTATAGTTAAAATAAGCACTATTTTTTAAAAACCCTTATGTCCCTGTATCTCCCATTCCTACTAGTTTTCTTAAAAGATCTGTCTGTATTCCCAGTCTTAGTGCCACTCAAACTGCTCTACCCAGCTAGATCCTTGTCAGCATTCTTAACCCTCTTTGACACCACTGACTACTCCTCCTTGAAGTACTTGTATATGTTGGCTTCAGGGGTAGATACTATCTGCAGGTATGCTTTCTCAGTCCGCTTCGTAGGTGCACCCCTTTCGCCTGACACTTTTGTGTTGTGATTTTAAAATTTTGTTTTAGAGCCTCTTTCTGCATCATCTTAGCTGCTCTCATCCTTGACCATGGCTTCTGTTACCATCTGTATGCAAATGACCCCCAAGTTCATATCTCCTTTCTAGGCCTTTCCTAATTCATGTATCTATCTAATTGCTGACGTAGTCACTCTGCTAACTTAAGTCCCCTCTTGTAGACACCATAGCATGTCCTTGATCTTGTCCCCAAACCTTCTCTTCTGTTCCGTCTTTGAGTAGACGGCACTGCTGCTACCAGTTGCCCTAGCCCAAGCCAAAAACTGATCTGTCCATGACCTTATCATATCCACTCACGAAAACCTTTGTGTTAGGTCTACTGTCTCAAGTTTTTCTCACTTCTCCAGTGCTACCATCCTAATTCAGGCCGTCAGCCTACCTAAATTAGAGCAACAGCATCCTTGTTAGTCTCTTTTTCTCCAGTTTTGATCATTTTTTATGCTGCAGCCAGATTGTTCTGAAAGACATACCTGGTCATATCTCTCCACTGCTTTCACCATGACATAGGATAAGATACAATTTCTGTTCATCTTCGAGGTCTCAGTTTAAGTACCACTTCCTCTAGGAAGTCTTCGCGGATGCCCTTTAGACTAGGTGCCCCCACTGTGCACTCTCTAAATACCCTTTACTTTTCCCAGCCATACACCTGTCACATTTTGTTGCTACTTTTTATCTGTCACTGCTAGACTGTAAGCTTTACCAGGGCAGGGACTGTGCCTTGCTAGCTGTTCTATCTGTAGTGTTTAGCACAATGCCTGGCGTTCCAATAAACGTTTGGATGAATAAATATGTGTGTAGTGTTATGATCTTTGAAGCCCTTTCATAGTCTTATTTGACCTTCACTGAGGTCTTCCTGCCTTAGCCTGCTTGTTGGGTAATTGTTATTCACATATTATGAATTAAGAAATGAAACTAAGTTCTTTGTGACTAGGGAATTGTATTCCCAGAATTCAGCTCAGTGCTTGGCATGTGGCTCAAATATTTATTATGTGAATGTTGTTTGAGGAAACAAACGTAGATTGCAATTTGCCCTAGTCCATGTAAGTAGTAAAGCCAGGATTCAAACCCAGGTATACTTATATGAACCTATGGAATATTAAATCTTTACCTCCTTTATTTAGAAGTCTTAATTTCTTTTTTTTTTTTCTAATTTCCAAAGATAGACTTCCAAAGGAACCTAGATGAAAAAGATTGGACAACTATTTAGTGGACTAAAACAATACTTCGGTAATTAAAAAGTTACACTCAGTATCAGAAAAAAATGCAGCAAACATGCATACTATTTACTTGCCACTTTCCTTTACAGATGGTTTTTGGCTCTTCTGGGATTTAAAAGTAAATAAATTTAATAAGATATTAGAGGAATGACTCCGTCTTCCTGGTCCCTAGATACCCAGTTCTCTTGCTTTCTTGCCTACAGAATGTCCTTATCACTTCTCCAAGGAAGATGACCCAAAAGTGACATGTAATCCAGGTGTACTTCTTAGATTTGCTATATTTCTTTGCTTTCCTGTTCACGTGCCTCTGAACTTAATTTCTGGGTAACCAGGGCTTTTGGGATTTGTGGAAGAACTATACCCATAGTCTTTTTCCTTGAGCCATTTTGTCCAATTTAAGGGATTAACCAGTGTTACACTAAGTTGGACTTTTAGTCTGAGGCACATTAACTCATCCAGAAATCTTAACAGTAGGTGTGATAGTCATCCAGTGGTCCTTGCTGCAAAACTGGGTTTTAATGGGTTTCTTTAATCCTCTGGATTAAGGAATTTCTCATTTTTATCTTCTCGTAATTGAGAAGTGGCCTCATCCTATCCAGTAAGTACTCAGATTTGTGAACTCTACCCCCTTTCATTTCTGCTTGCAAATTGATGAATTCTGAGGTCATCTCTTTCTTACACATTTTGTCAAATGCAGCCAACAGCAACCATAAAACATTTTGTTTTACTCCCCCCCGCCCTTAGTAAAGGATAGATTCTGTGCCTTACAGGCTTTCCCAAGAGATAGTTTCACCACTCCATAACATGAGTTGCCCCCATAAGTTATTTCTTCCATCCTCCAATAGCAATTTCCTGAGTGCCTACCAACTAAGCCAGTATGTAGTATGTTGAGTTTTTTTTTTTTAAATGGAGCCAATTTCTATATCAGGATAGGCGAGGTTGTCATACAGTAACAACAGCAAAATCTCAATGCCTTGGGAACTTTTCTCTTACAACTTGGCTAGGGACTTTGCTCGAGGTCGAGGGTCAGCAAATTACAGTCCACAGGCAGAATCCATCCTGTGGCCTGTTTGTGTAAATAAAGTTTTATCAGAAGAGAGCCTTGCCCACTTATTTATGTCTATGGCCGCTTTTGCTCTATAATGGCAGAATTGAATAGCTGTGACAAAGAGTGTGTACAACGCACAGAGTCTA